TTAGGCAAAGCATAAGATATAAGAATCCACTGACTAGTAATCACCAGGTAACACAGGCACAGAGGGGAGAGGGGTGGTGGTTAAACAAAGAGACTAAAAATGGTTGAATTTGGTTAACTGGCAGGATTATGAACTGAAGAATGAAGAACGACTTTAAGAAATCAGGGGATGCGCACACAGAGACATTCCTTTGCTAAAACAGATTACCGAGGCGTATGACTGCTCATCTGCAAGTACTGGCCAGGTCAGGCAACCGTCTAACATTCAGGACATGAAAGTGAGTACAACACAAGGTTTGAACCTTCCCTGTTAACAGAAAGTTATCACTGTCTGATGGTTATACTCACGAACTAAGCCAACAGCCGCCTGACCCCTGCACCCTCCCAACCCGAGCATCCTTACTGTGACAGCAACACACCGCCTGTGGCCTGAGCCACTTGGGGCATCCCCCTAGAGCTAGACCAGGCAGAATTATCATTGCCCTTGCCAGGAAGATGAAAGCAAGAAAACAAACAATAAACGCCGGCTAAGGCTCCTGCCCGCAGCCGAACACCTCAAGTAAGAGATACCCCCCCTCCTTACAGAAGGAGGCTCCAGTGCCGAAAGGGACAAAAGGAGCAAGCAGCCTGTAAAGACGCCGCTGCGCGCTCCGCCGAGCCATCCCCCCCCCCCCCCCAAATCCCTAGCTCCCGAGCAGACCCCCGAGGCCAACTGCCCGCCCCCCGCTCCCCATCCCGGAGCACAGCCGCGGAACCACATCGCTCCGCGCCCGGCTCCCCCAGCACCCCGCAGCCCTACGGCCGCCGCCCCTCGTTCCAAACCCCGGGAGCTCCCGCGGGCACCCGCGCTCTGCCGCCCAGCGCCGGGCACGGCGAAGCCCGGGAAGGGCCCGGCCGGGGCAGAAGGCGACCGCGGCCCCCGCAGCGGCGTCTGGTTTGGGCTCACCTCGCTGCGCGTGATGCGGTGCCGCGCCAGCTTGACCACCGCGAAGTTGCCTTTGCCCAGCGTGCCCTCGATGTCGTAGAAGCCGACGCGGACGGGCCCGAGCCCGCGGGGCAGCAGCGGGGGGGGCCGCCGGGGCTCGGCCATTACCATGCTGGGCGCGGGGGGCGGCGGCGGCGGCTCCGGCGCGGGCAGCGGCGGCAGCAGCTCGAGTCTGTCTGCGGCGCCCCGGAGCCCTCCTCCACCAACCGCACGTCACAGCGCGCGTCAGCGCGGGAGGAGCCTCGCCATGGCAACCGCGGCAACCGCGGCCACCGCGGCGGGGCTGGACCGCACCGGGCTGGGATGCGCTCCCCTTCCCGGCGGCCCCGGCACCCCCGCCGGAGCTCCCGACCCCGGTGCGGTGCGATTTGAGCCTCGTCCCAGCTCTCCTCCTGCTCTCCGCTGCGCCCCCAGCGAGGCTCTTTGTAGAGGGGTGGAGGCACCTTGAGCGCATCGTTAGCAGGAGGAGGAGGAACGAGCCAGACCCAGGTGACTCTCAATGGAGCCCTCAATCAGGGTCTCCCTAGCCCCAGGGTACAGTAAGAGCCTTGGGCTACTGCACCTGGGTCAGGGACCCTTGAGTATATATTATCCTGAGGGAAACACCCTCTCTCTACCAGTGAGCAGCATTTTCAATGGGCCAGGCTATTCCAGATCAGAACGATGCCTTTTGTTAGTACATCAGCCTGCCGAAATCCTGGTTATTGTTATGCAGTACTCATGTTGAGCACTGTGTGCAGTTCTAGGACCCACAACTTAAGAAGAATGTGAAGGTATTGGAATGCATCCAGAGGCGGCAACAGAGCTGGTGAAAGGGCTGGAAGACACATCCTGTGAGGAGCAGCTGAGGACACTGGACTTGCCTAGCTTGGAGAGAAGGAGGCTGAGGGGTGACCTTACAGCTTCCTGAGGAGAGAATGTGGAGAAGGAAGTGCTAATCTCTTCTCCCTGGGATCCACTGATAGACTGTGTGGGAATCCCTCATCAGGGGAGGTTGAGGCTGGATGTTAGGAAGAATTTCTTAACAGAGAAGGTGCTCAAACCCTGGAACAGTCTTCTTAGAGAGGTGATCAATGCCCCAGACCTGTCAGTGTTTAACAAGTATTTGGACAATGCCCTTAAGAGCATGCTTTAACTTTTACACTAATATGGTCAGGCAGCTGGACCAGATGATTGTTGTGGGTCCCTTCCAACTGAAATAATCTGTTCATTTCCTACACACCTGGAAAGACAGATTTGGAAGCTTTTTTAGGTCCTTTGACATAACATGGTTAGATGCCTTTCAGAGCTGACAATGTAAGAGTGAAAAAGGTTAAGGCCTTTTATGTTAAATTTCCTTTCCAGTACTACATCCACCTAGTCTGCTTTATGTTTGCAGTATTTACACATTAGCTTGCTTTTGTCTTTAAAATGCCATGCTCATTTCAATTCTGCAGCAACCTTTCCCCTCCTGGTTTACGCCTGTCCCTCTCTCATCGCTCCCTCTCCCCTGACCCATCTCACACTGGAAGACTGGTACGTTTTGACATGTGGATACCAGGAATCGTGCCTGGGGGCTTTGCTCAGTTCCACTGACTAAACGAAGCATGTCTAAAAGCTGATGATACAAGAGCACACGTGTCTGAATCAACTGCACTTTCAGCAGCAGTCACAGGCCTTTCATGAACACAGAGTGCTGTGCATGCAAACATAGCAGAAAACAGTATTGCCACAAAAAGTGAGTGGAAGAATGCAAGAAACAACCTTCTGCCTCTTGCTTTCCCTTTGTATCCACATCTTGCAGATAAAGCTGCCTCATACATGTGGAAAGTTGGTTAAATTTGTTACGTGTCAAAACAGCAATGACTGTTCTGCAATGGGAACTGAAGACATCCGTGAAAAGTTAATGCTTGTCCTTCACTGCACTTGCAGTTCATGAGATTCCTCTAAGGAATGACATTTTGAGATGACGCTGCTGACTTAGGCTGCTATGGATAATAACTGTGCTGTTACTGTTCTATTTATCCCCTTAAGAAGCTCTAGCAATGACTAACTGATGACTTGAGTTAGTCAGACATCCACCCTTTTAAATGATTGATAGGTGCATGAGCAAGCTTACCATAATCCTACTTGAATAGAAAATGGTGTCATCCCAAACTGCTACTTAGGAGATTTCACCCTGTTTCACCTTGTAGGATGCTTCATTTTCTTCAGAAACCCGAAGCACTGACCAGTCAAGAATTCTAGTATGAGGCAAACTTGGTGTGTTCAAAGTAATTTTTACAACACTGTTCAAAAATGTTGCCTTATTCACAGTCACTTTATTATAAGTAGAAAAAAAATAGTAATAAAACATTTACTTGCTTTCTGCCCAATTTTATCCTGTAAAGTCTCACCAGACTGGTGTAAAATCAATTATTAAGTCAGATTTTGTGTTTGCAATAGAAAACTTTTGTAGAAACTTTATTCTGCTAGTCACCACACTGCCATTTTTGGCCTGAAAGTTCAGGTTACAAAAACAGTTCTTAATAACTCTGCTAGCAGAACTGCAGTCACAAAACCATTCTTTGTCTAGCAGCCTTTAACGGCCATTGATGGCTTTTGCTGTGCTTCAAGGAAAGCGATCCAAGCGCTTCTCACAGTGGTACGTACAGAGGAGCTCTTCAGGCCCTTTCCAAGACTCGATTGAATGACACAAACTGTGGAGCAAACATGCCCTCTTGTGGTCAATGTTCCTGCGCAGAATACTACGGCTGTGGTGCTCAACTAAATGGAGATAGCAAAGAAATGACAAAATTATCTTGCCTTCTAATAAGTTCCAGCTGAGCACATGCAGCTAACTCTGCCTGAGTTCAATAAGCCAGCAGTTCCACACTTAGTTGCCAAAATATAGCTTTACATGCTTACATACCTAATCCCCAACATCTGGCTCAAGCATTTTCATCTCATTTCCTATTTTTCAATGCCTAAAAGATGCTTAGTGTCTGCCAAAACAAGAAAAAAAAAAGGGAAGAGATCAAGTGTACAAGACTCAAAGTGGATAGAAACACAATTGCTTGATAAAAACACTAATTGCTGCATTAGAAACCCCGGACACTGCAAGCATCCAGCAATGACTATTCTCCTAAACCAGGCTTTTGCTCTGCAGGAGAAATGGTTGCAAACGTGGTGTCATTTTCAAAACAGAAGACTTTTATCTCATTTCCTTTTTAGGGGACTACTTTTTTAGGGGCTTCATCTTGCACCACTGAGTCATGTGGAGGAACAGTGCGAGATCGGCAGACATTCTGTGACACCACAGATACGCATGACAGCCATTGTGCACATCAACTTCACCTGTAGCATTTGGGAAATGAGAGACGCAGCTGTGGCAACTAACCAAAATATTTCCAGGTTTATAGCAGACAGCAACAGCACACAGATCCAGAAAGGACTTCCTGCATATTTGCATTGGCAGGACAAATCATGGCCATGTCATGCACTCATTTCTGTTGTTGTTTCAGTCCCACATTAAACACCTTCTGCCAAAGCCTTTGCCACAACTTTGTTTCCCAGTGGCTTATGCAAATTGGTTTTGCTTCATTTCCCTATTTATTTATTCCTGTGCAATGGAGAAGATCAAACTTTTATGGAACCCTGTCAAGAGCTGAATGTGTTTCAGGTGCTTCATAGACTTGTTTGGCAGCAGAATGTTGCTCTCCTGGAGCCGGAAATACTCACCTGCAGAGCAATAGGTGAGTAATATTTGTGTTCCTGTTTGACATGCTTTATTCGTTTGGTCATTCTCCCTCCATTACCTTGTCTCTCATCAAAGGAAAAAACAACTCCAAAACCCAGATGGATCCAAAACCCAGAGCTTAGCAAATCGCTAGTGTAAAGCCAGACAACAAAGATGTAACCGTCTTTTGAAAACTGCATACTGAGGAGTTATGGCTTCAGTAAGCATTTTACGGTCTCAAGATTGCCTCAACCTGCACCTTTGTTTTAGCTCTAACCAATAGAGAGTGTCAAAACTGAAGCTTTTAAATGCAGGCAGAGATAAACAAGCATCTACTATTTTTATTTAGCTTGTGAAAAGATCAAATGTGATCTAACTGAATAAGTAAAAAACATTACTTGCTACATACAGGGTTAGGTGCCAGAGCTGCTTAACCAAACCATATATTTTAATCAAATAAATTTTTATACAGCTTCTAGACATGCTTCAAAATTGCTGCACAGATCTGCTGGTTAATAACATCAATTTTATCTATTACAAGGCCTCATTATTGTAGTCCCCAAAACACTTCAAAGTCAATTATTAGATTTTAGGCTTCCCTGTAAGCCTGTGAATTGCTGTTTTTTCTGTTTTTCATATGGGACTGAGGCACTCATAGTTAAGAGCAGACTGAGACAGAGTACGGAGCTGAAACCAAATGGCCCCAGATACATGATAATGCTCAAAATGCTTTCTTTCCTTCAGTGCAAATATCCAGCTTCCAAACATTCAACATACTTGGCTTTTTATGTTGCAATCCCACTTATTAGTTCAATGGGATACAAACAAAACTCCATTTTTAAAGAACAATTCCATTGGTGGAATAATTGAAAACAGAGCAAGTACAGTGCTGGTTTACTCAAAGCTGAACATATTTGCCTTGAGAATCTATAAATCAATGGATGAAGCAGTTGAGATGCCAGATCAGGCAGGACAAACAAGTCTTAATGGTCTGACTTTGCAGTGTTTTCTACACATATGCAGCTACAAACATGCCAAGATCCCTAGCAAAAAGCTGTACAGCTCTGAATGCAACCCCACATTCATGACTTCTTTATTAACAGCTGGACCCCATTCACAAACTCAAACTGGCTCTGTACTGAAAAAAAAAAGACTCCAGAGGCCACAGTGCTGCAATCAGTACCTATGAGAAACCATAGGTTTATATATATCTATATATATCCAGTCACTAGTGACTTTTAACACCTTTGAAGGTCAGTTAAATAAATACAGATTTTTGATTGCACTTTAGTTTCAAAGGCATATCTTTGGAGTACAAAAAAAGAATAAAGAGAAATAACAAGCCATTCCCAGGGGACAGGAGACTTGATGCAGAGCAAAATATATACATTCTTTTCAGTCTGGATCTTTAAAAACCCATATTCTTTCAGAAAAAGAGAAGAATATAGGGACAATGCAAAACTAGGATAAACATCACGTATACTATTATTAAAACAAGTGCATAGGGAAGGCAGGTTAGCTTGTATCAACATTCACTTTGTCATCCATATCCCAGGATTTGTTTTGTTCCATTTCCTTAATATCCATAAATCTCATTCTCCACCCAGGCCGATTCCTTGCTCCTCCCCACATGATGTCCACACATCTCATAGATATCATTGGTCACAAAGCCACTTTCAGTACTGGTCAATGTCACAAAGCCACTCGATGTATTTGTTGCTGCACCACTGTAATCACTGGGGAAACTGTCAAGCACCTTATCTTCCTGTTTACGAAAGGAAGAATTCTTAGTGTCAGGCCTGGTTCCAGCCAGATCTGCTTCTGATTGCTTCTTGATGACTTTGTAAATATCCAGATTTGGACTGTTTCTGCTGTGGTTAGACAGCCATGCATCTTCCTCCTTTGGGCTTGCATCAATTTGCTCCTGTCTCCTTAGGGATGGAGAAAAGGGGACAAGTCATATGATTTTTTACAGAGGCAAATACAAAACAGTACCACACCTCTCAGTAATGTAATGATGGCCCTTGGGGAAAGCTGACACTTAGAGCCTGGACTCCGGATGACATTTGTTATTGCTTGCTTCCAGGTGTGTTCTATGGCAGGACCTGCTGAGGTAGTCCTTGCATTCTGGTGCCAGCTGAGATGCTGAGGCAGCAAAACTCTACACTGACACTCCCAAAACTACAGCCAGCATCACCATCAGAGGTACTGTACACACAAGGAAAGCAAGGAGAGGGAACTGGGAAACGTTACTTGCTCCAAATGTATGTCCTTTTATTTCCAATATGTTTTTCACTTTTTAAGGGGATCTGATATTTCAAGTATTTTCTTTAATAAGAAAACTTCAGTGCTAACAATTCAAAATCATCATCTTGTTTTACACTATTCCCTAACTACTATAGGTCTGTGAAAATAGTAAAATGGCCTAATGTGATTTACTTGAATTTTTACTTCACAAGTTACTTAGCCTGGAGCTAACACCTTTTAAACATTTATTTGGCTGAAATACGACACAGTTTAAACATATATTTGACTGAAAACAGTCCTCTCCAGAGCATCTTGCAGAATTCTAATGCTAGCTATAAAATGATTTCCAGAACAAGGTATCATATATTCACTAGTTACACAAAAAATGTCACTTACCTCTTCACAACAAGCCAAAACCAGAAGATGCCTATAACAACTATGAGGAGCAGCAGTACAGGAATGCTGGGAATAAGGATGTAGGCAAGACTCTGAACAGGTTCTAGGGGTGAAAATAAGATTCCAGCTTTTATTCACTTCCAGTTGCATTTGATGTGCCCAGAACTTCATAGAAAACTTAACTGCTGCAAGAGGCAGCATCATCACAGCTCAATGGGCTTCTAGTTTTGCTAATAATCTAACAGTATGTCCTTCTCAAAGGCAGCAAGTCTAAGAGTCCAATCATCTACTTAAGCAGGTTAAAGTAAAATAAGCTCAAATCTTCAAGATTATGGAAGCCAATAAACACAACATACCTTGGGCTTTCACAAGTGTTACATTAGCATCTTTTCTATGGTGCTCTTTTGGGAATAGTGGGTTTAAGGGTTCTGTTGCAACACCTGGAAAGAAGCAATATTTCAGATGTTATTTGAAAGAGTTTAAGAATCAAAAAGTGAGGGTGAGAGGAGATTGAAGAGACTGTCAGCTGCAAAGACGTGCAAGGTATATTGGTACTATTCTGCTTAAATTTCTGCAAGCATGACCAGTGGTCCCAGATACTGCATCAACAAACAGCAATACCGTGTTCCTGCAGAACGGGTTATAGAACAGCACAAGGAAACGGCAGGGATACTTCTAGCATAGCAGTTTTCAGTGTGTGATTGTTCTTAACAATGAATGTCACAGGGTATTTTTTACTGAAAGTTATCATGTCATTAAAAAAAGGCTCAGATATCTGTAACTTACCTTTCTGGGAATTCTCTATTGGAGCTCTCGTTGTCTTCTCTAAAAGAGAAAAATATATGCAGTTTCGTCATAAGCTTGACTAGGGAGACCAGGTGTACTGAATATAGTCTAATAGCATGAGCACCCTTCTTCAGCATTCTCTGCCCCTCAGGCCACGTTTGAGGTATCAAATGCTTTATAAAAATCCCCCGAGAATTCATGAAGTCACAAAGCAAGTAGCTACAGAGATTGTTTTCCCCGTGACTTGCATGAACCTAAAGACATCTGTCTCTCACCAGATATTTCCAGTAAATCTAAGATAGGGTTTCCCTATCAGTTATAGCAATTTTCTCATACTTCCTCTTGGGGACTGTGAGCAGGTTGGGTTTTTAAAGCTACAGAATGACTCATTACCAAGGGAATATTTGCAAATGAAGTTATTTTTCATGTTGCATCTGTCATCGTTCCATTGAAACATGTAAGGACCTCCAACACCTGGTGGGGCAGATGGCTGGTAGTACATCACAACACAGATTTCACTCCCACAGGATGGCTCATCTACATACCAGTTCCTAAGAAAATACAGCAAACATGTCAAGTAAGACTTGACATCACTTTCCATGATACTGCAGAAGCTCACATAGAAATACAGCATACAGGGCACCACAAAGGGCAGAATCTAAGAGGATGACAGCTCAGCACACCCCACCCCACCCTCACCCCCCACTTCCACTGTGTAAAAGTAGGAGTGCTGAGCACTTCATGAAAGCTGATCAAGACAACAGAAGTAATTCCAGATACACCAAGGTATTCAATATGGAAATAAACCCCACACATGTCAAATCAAGCAGAACTTTTGAGGCTAAACACGTTTTGGTTCTATGCTGAACAGAAATGTGAAAGTAGTGAAAACAACTCCAGTAAACTCGTATTGGTTTTAAAGGTTATTGCATTTATAGTTTAACTACAGCAAATGCTGTAAGACTCATGTCTACAATAAATACTGAAGCTCTCCAATCTTACTGTCTAGCAGGAAAAAACGCTATTCCCTCAGCAAGGAAAAAGAGACAGGCCCATTGCTTAGGACACCAGGGACAAAACTTCAGGGAATCTGAAGCAGAGGGACCTTCAGGTCAAAATACATTTTCTTCATGCCTAATCAGAGATTTTTAAGACCAGATCACTTGTTCATCCACCTCCTTTTAGCAATCAGAAACTACCAGTCTAGCCCCAAGCTAGACATTCTAGGTGCTTCATATGCAGCAAAGAGAAAGCAGGGTCTACAAAGGGTAATTTGTCTACCCCTTACATCTGGGTGGGATTAATTGCTCTCCAGAGATACTACCACTTGTCAGTGACTGCAGAAGGAACACAGAGGACAGCTAGAACAACACTGGTTGACTCTTGAAAGAATCCTTTCTGACTGCTAAAGGCAGTTGACAGTCCCTAGCCAGTTTGCTTCCCAGAATTGCCCATAGGTACCTACCGGAAGTTGGATGAGCTGCCATCTGACCAGAAGTAGAGGTTCTGGCAGTCTGTACTGTTGTCTACCTCCTTTTTCCTCCTAAGCCCTATCCAAAAGTCTCCATCAGAAGCTAAGAGACTGTCAATGAATCTTTCAATCAGTCTTTGCTCTGCTTCTGTTTCAATACTGACTAGATGTCCACCATCAGTTCTGCAGGCATGCTGTGCTTCTTCGTAGCTGATCCTGCGTGAAGCATCATGAAAATAAACTATTTTGTAGCACGGTGGCTCTGTTCCACGACGACAAATTGTCTGTCCTGCAGAAATGGAAAGACCTGTTACAGAAACTGCGGCTGTTAGTAGCAAACCTGAATGCTAATACTTCCATTTGGTTGAGTTTCACACTGTATAACAAGGGTTCAAGAAGGCTTTTTTTTAAATTAATATTATTTTTAAGGACTTAAATTGGCTAGAATTAGAGATCCCCTTACAGAAGCAGAGATAATTTATCTTCTGGGGTTTATGTGCTACTTTCATGGAGCGTACACTCAGTGTATTACGATGTGTTCACACAGTACAGTTGTCAGCATTGCTCTGCACTGTCATGTTACTGACTGCCCAGGAAGTAAACAATGTCTGCTTTCAGACTGTCGTAAGCCAAGGACTTTCTCATGCATGAAGCAGCGGGGCTTATTTTGATTACAAAGAAAGGAAAGATCAAAGTGAAAAGATACATAATCTAAAATTATGCACTTGTATGTTTCTCAGCAGAAGAGTCCCAATATTTAGACTGTGCAAACAAACAGTTTTGTTTTACTTAGTAAATATTTCTATTCAAGCACCGGGCAGGCACAATCTGCTAACCTAAATGTTTTTATAGCAGAGAAACATTTAGCAACATTTGCAACATACTCTGAACAAATGGGATGCGAGGACAGGTCATTATGAACCCCTCCATATGCTGCCTTTTCTTTATTCTTCTACAGCCATTCTAAAAGTGAGACTTTAAACACCTTTTCACTGGAATTTTCGAGCAGTTCAGTCCTAAGAAGCACAGAATCTGCTGCCATTTTACACATAAAACTGGCTGTACCGCAAAAGCAGTATTTAAAAATACATCTTTAGGCATAACCTATGTTTCCCTCCGTAATGTAACACTTATGCAGGCTTGTTGAAAAAGAAAAAAGAGCTTACCTCTTCTGAGGGATATGTCCACTGCTATTGTGAGAGACATAAGAAAGTTACTGAGACATCACATTGTTGTTAACAGCAGCAACTGTCTAGAAACAGTGTCACAAACTGCACTTGGTTTCTTTTCCGATACACAAACATATTTTTTTCTGCATTAACTGGCAGAAAATCTGTCTTCTCAGACAAACTTGCCACTGCTTTCAACTAGGGGAAAATCTATTGTACTTGATTACTGTCTAGACTTCACTGCTGGTTAGGTTCCCAAGTATAATTTATGTAAGAAGTCAAATGGATGTGTAGCTCTAACCAATGCTGAAAGGGTTCCTCATGTTTTCCCGCTATCTCCTCATTGCCTAGATGGGATCTGCCTCAAAGCCTGCTGAGCCTCGATAATTCAAGACTACGGATAAGTCAATTATACTGAGAAGTATAAATTTCATGAATAGAAATACATCCTGAACCCCACAGCTGGCAGCAGAGTCCTCCAAATCACTCCCACAAAAGTCCTACTGCAGACAAGAGCTTCGCAGAATTAAAAATGGATTTATAGATATAATAAAGCTATTTGCCTTATATTAGATTAACATAAACATCTCATGGGTGACAGTGTTCAGGCTTTCTGCTAAATATCATGTCAGGCAGAAACTTCCCCCAGACTGGCTGTTCTGTACCCTAAAACCAGACTAGACTTAACTAGTTTGGGTACTACATCCAAAAATTACTGCTGGTTGAAATTTGAGCTGCCGTATGTCATCTATTCCCATGAAAGGCATCTAAATAGGCAACATTCCTTTGCACAAAATCAGGAGACGAGACTCAAGGAACACTTTGTAGAGGAAGAGTAAGACAATCTGGTGTTGTCTGGAAACTCAGCCAGGCTGGTAGTTACCACTGACAAAAGTGGTTCCATTAGCCAGGGCGTCACTGGAAATTCCTAGGGCTGAGGCAAAAATACAGCAGAGAAGGGTTTCTTATCAGAAGAGGAAAATGAAACTGGACTACCAGCGTACCCCTTTTACAGCCAGGAACGAAGGGCTGCTCCCACCCAGAGTGGAGGATGTGGAGATCTCTCTTGGGCAGGGCTAGCTGCCGCTGGGAGTTAGGAGAGAAAAAAATCACTGCTCTAGGTAGCGTCGCCTATGTCGCGACGGCTCTACCAGCCAGCCGATCCCCCCTCGGGCCAGGGGACGAGTCTCGGCCGGGCCGCCAGCCCCCTGCCCGGTACCCAGCGCTTCCCCGGACCCTCGGCGCCGTCCCCACTCAGCGGAGCCGGGCCAGCGGAGGGCCCGCCCGCCACCCCGTACATACCGCTGAGCAGCCGCGCTCCCGCAGCCCAGCCCAACGCGGCGGCGCACAGGGCCGCGGCCGCCAGCATCGTCCCCGGCTCCGTCGGCGAGCGCTGGAGGCCCGGCTCGCTGCGCTGCACCGCGACACCCCATGCGAGTGGCCCGCGGCCCGGCGGCCGGGGGAGAGGGGATGGAGGGCGGAGAAGAGGCCGCCGCCTCATCCCTCCCACACCGGGCTCCGGGCCAAAGTCCAGCAACGGGACCCGCCTCCCTCGCGGCGCATCTCGCCTCCGGCGGCATCCGGCTGTCCAGCTGCTGGGCACATGCTAAGCCAGCACCTCTTTAAACTGCCCCTTTCCCAGCCGCGCTTCAGACAGCCCATTACTTCTGCGTGTTTTCCCCCGCTCCAGCTTTATAATTTCTCTCTCCCACCTCATAAATGATAGGGCGTGAGGGCAGGATACACCTCCACTCTCCACCACGTGTGAGTCATAGAGAGCAAACCTGCAGACCCTCAAACCTGCAGACCCTCCCCACGCAGATGGGCAGCTGTCTTTAAGAAACTGCTTCAGACCTTCAGACAGAACAGGGGAACTTCCAAACACAAATAAATGCTGAGCCTCATGCCCGGTGGCTAGGGAGGTGATGTGTACCTGTTTCTGGGATCGGTAGCTCTCCAGTTAAGACTTTAATGGCTCAGTCTCTAAGAGCTTTTTACAGGTTGCAGAAAGGGGTAGAGCACCAAAGTGAGTGAATACAGGAGCTTTAGGGGGTAGAGTTTTTTCAGACAGATAGTAGCTAGCGTTGATATTTTAAGAGGAGGTTAGTGATTTGATGAAAGCCTTAAAACCTCTACCAGCTGTTGGGAGTCCAGCTGGAGAAAGTAATCTGAGGTAGGTGCTGGAGCTGAACTAAGGCTATGGCTTTGCAGCATGTGGCACGTCTGTGAAATGCAAACATCAGTGGTATTTTAGAACTGAACTTTTACATTCCCTAAGTCCTTGGTGAACAGAGTTTGAGTATAGTTAATAACAAGATGCTGAAGCAACTTAACAGCCATGAGCAATTAAAACTGGTTTCATGAACTTGAATGAGGACTAATATTTTGATGGGACAATTTTATATTTAATTTCCTGTATTTTTGAAAACAAAACAATTTGAAATGAGGTATGTCCATGTAAGTGACATATGTGTCTATTTCCAAACTGTTAGGTCATATAATTGGAAATGCTTCAAATACAGGGAAGGATGCAAGAACCAAGCATCTGACCTGGCTAGCCTGAGTTGTAGGACGGAAGTCAAGACTTTATCAAGCCAATCTTCATTACCCTGAAGCTCCACTAGTACATTCACTCTTTTGAGAACTTTTGACAAAGGAAATCCTGTTTGTGAATTACATTTATTTGTGAAAGTTCCCCCCCCCCACTTTTATAGACCAAAGTAACCAAAATAATTAAAAGGACAGAAAATAATTTGTATTCTAAATCCACTGGAAAGCATTTCGGTATGTCTAACAGCAGCAGCGCTGTCAAGATGTTTTCTCGAATTACTGGCAAGTAAACATTCTGCCACTTGCGTCTCCACAACTGAGGAATGCACTGTCATGTGACAGCAGCAAAGTGATTACCAAAGATTTGGCTACCTTCAACATGAAAATGGCAGTGGCTGACAGAAGTCTTTGTTGATCTATTTTTAAAAGAGATCAGCTGCAAGCATTCAGACACCATGTATAACACTGGACTATAAAACTTAGTGTCTTTGTTGTGCAATCTTAATATTATGAGGCACAGGCCTTTCACATGGTTTCTACTTCTGCAAAGACATTTCTCAACATGCCCAAAGCTCTTGCTGTCCATTTATGATTCTGGTAAATTTAGCGCTTATGAAATGCATTTGAAAGCTGTCCAGTAAGTTCAGAAGATTTCAGATCCTGCAAATCAAACATCCCAGGACCACAGCTGTCCATGGGATACAAATCTGGCCAGGTACACATTTTGCCTCCCAAATATTTTAACATTATTAGTTCAAAAGCCAACTTTGTTGAGAAATATTTATGCCAATGTTAGCCAGGAAAACCTGGTACTTTAATTGAGATAGAGGGTTCACATGTGTGACAGAGCACCAGAATAGAAAATGTGCTTTCCTGATGCAAATTATATGAATAGACTATACCTGGCACAAACGTGAAGAAAATACAAGGCCGTCTTCCTGTAGAAATATGTAAGCATGTCTTTCCTGTTCTAGAATTCCTTGCATCCCAAATCCTTAATTGACACTCTTGCGCTTTATTGCCCTTTCCTTTTATGCTGACAACTTAAAAAAAGACATAAATGAAACAAGCATTTTCATTTCCTGCACACTGAAAATGCACCAAACTGAGCCCCCTCTTTGTCTCACAGTACATTAGTGTAAGATGTCAGCAAAGAACAGAATTCAGAGTGATTTTGAGCCAAGAAGGGGAAAAGAGGAAGGTTATAAAAAACACTAGCAATACTAAAGAGTTTGTTGTTGTTTTTTTTAATGTGCTAATATGGCTCCTGAGTATAGAACTCACAATTGTGTCAGAAAAAAGGAGACTCATATTTTGTTTCAGGCCTAGCTTTAATGTATAGAGTTGGACAAAGCAGATATACTTGGTTCAGCATTTTACTAAACTGAGAAGAGGAGGTAGTTAATATGAACCAACTTAAAAGCTTAGAAGGGGAGGAAGAAAAAGGAGGCTTTTTTGTCTGAGTACATCATTTCTGAAAGTATTGTTTGAAATCTTGTTTTCCAAGTTACTTCTCAAACCACTGCACTTATCAGTTTTTGAATTTCTGCTCTAGTCTTTACTATTAAGTAATGAAATTGTATCAATTAGGATATGTAGTTCTTCAGAAGGACAGATGCTTAACCTTATATGGGGTAAAAACTCATCTATCTCTGCTTTATGTCTTGTAAATTGCAAGTGAAGGAAAGAAGTGCCCTAATATAATACAGACCTCTTATTCTTGAATCCGGCCAGCCCAAGTAAAACCATTATAAATCAGTAAGTTCACTACTACTAATAAAAATCCCTAAATGCAGTTCTTCCTTTTATTGCTGAGATTTAGTTTATGATGACTTTTTAGGGAGCAGAGCAAGTGAAACCAGCATCCAGTTTAACAACTTTGTTACAAACTGAGTTTTAGTGTTTCAGTGGAAGAAAAATAGACACAACAATGAAAAAACAAATAAAGCAATTAACAATGGGCAGGCTATGAAGATTCATTTGGCACATTAAACTGAGAAACACATAGTTGTATTAAAACAGGCTTAATTCAAGTAACTGAGATCCATGCATTATATATCTCTCTATAAAATACAGGTGCTTCAGCAAAGTGCTGCCACAGTCCTTACTGTCATTCAGACAGCAATATAGTCACTGCTTCTGCTGAACTTCTCAGTCCCAAGTTCCTGTAGATTGCAAGATTTCTACACTTCCTCATATTTGCCCTGTTCCCTACCTGCCTCCACCAGTGAGGTCAACTTCAGTTCCTGTCTCCTACTCCCACAAGCATCTCCACATTTTCTGTGAAAATGTTGATGTACCAAGTCATGCTCTTGAGCTAATTTGCAAGACACACAATCTTTTCTCTATCACTTTTCTGTTCTGTTGGCTTGGAGAAGGAAATTAAGGCCAGCATGTGGTAGCTGACTAAATTAGGGATATACCCATACAAAATAAAATGTTAACATCAAGAAACAGTCAGTTATACTTTCAAACACTTTAATGAATTTATAATATCATTGTCTTTGTGTGGTTTTCGGATTGGATATTGTCCAATAGCTGTATTTATCTCGCTTAAACTTCCTTGCTTAAGCTTTTATGTTTATTGCTTCCTGATGTTTGGCCTGAGACTTTCAGAACAGGCTACAGGATCCTCTTAGCTTAGGGAATTTGTTGAATAAAGCAACCTTTTCTGCATGTCAATTAGCTCAGATTTGAAGCCTTTATAATGTTGACAAACTATACTGGAAAGCTTGTGGGAATCAATGAATCACAGAATAGTCCAGTGAAATGAACATCCAGAAGACAACAGCTTTGTTGCCATGTGCCTCATTGCTATCTCATATAAAATGAGCTAACTGATTAAAATGGGCATTTCTAATAAATGAATTCCCTGTCAGTTTGTGAAATAACAGTGTTAATGCAGATAAGCTTTCATTCTAAAAAAGCCTATCCCTATACCACTGTGGAGACAATATTCACTTCCCAGATCTACGCACAGAGCTTCCAGGTTTTGCTCTCCCATGCTGCAGGAACAGAATGCCTGAATCAAGTCTGAAATCTGGATTTGAACTCTTATAACTCCTGAACGACTCTCAAATGACTCCTATGACTGATCATAATTTGAACATTATTCTTATTTCATTCAGTGCATTAATTTTAATTCTCTTAGACTGATGTGAGGCTTATAGCATGACCTGTAGCTGTATAAAGTAATTTACTCATTGAAATTAATCAGTCATCTTTATGGCTGCCAGATGCCCAAAGCTGCAAAACCTTGCTATCATCTATTGTTACTGAACTTAAGAGAATGGAAGATTCGGGGGACTGTTGCTAGCTTCAGTCAGAACTCAGAAAGAAGGCTAATGGATGGTAATGGATGAGATGCATTTTGGAATTATTAATTGGAAAAGGAGGGTTGCTGACTTGCAGGAGAGACTTGCAGACCTCAGCACCTTTCTGTACTTCTTGCAAATTGCTTTTGTCTGGCCTGCTTCCCAAATACAGGCTAGAGGCTTTTCAGTGAAAATGTGGAACTTTTTACTAAAATGAGGAAAAAATAATTATAGAGTCAATGCTATTACAATATTTAATACTAGTTTTCTTAGTTTCCATTACTTGTAGTAATTTTGTTCACGATATATACATGGAACACTAATTTACCAGTTAGATCAGTAGGGGCTTTAGTAGAAGTTTATGTTATTGTCTCAACAGCAAGCACAACTGTTGTCTGCATATTATTTTTCTTGGTAAAATAGTAGGAGACACTCCAAGCTCTATATATTTGGTCCCATCCTGACATTTTGCAGGAGATGAACCTCAGTAATCTCAATACCATGTCACTTATTTTACTTCTTTTCATGACTAATTTAATGCTTGAGTCACTGCATAAACATTCATATATATGCCTTATAGCATGCTAAACCTTATTGATCCTGTCCATCAATTACAGACTACAGGAACTGTTAACTAAAGTGCTGAGGGGCAGATAAATGTCAGATTGCTGTTAGCTTT